CTGTTCTGACTGCAGCGATTCACTCTTTATGCACACTATCTAGACAACTGTACTGTACTAGTCATTATTCGTTCATGTTGACCACATGCTCTTATCACCTACTCTTATCTTTACATATATGATGGTTTTTAGGCCATTTCAGTTGAGCCCCGTCACGCTGTCTGTTACTATACCATCAGAAGTTTCCAGAATAGCCATTTAGACTCGAAGTGACATTACCACTCGAACCCGTGTCAAGAGCTATGCAATGTAAAGGCTTGTAGGAGGATTCTACACTGTCATAGGTACCTACTCTCTCCGAGTTGAGACATGGCTTCTGACTATCTTAAGGAGGGTTTTAGGCAATGCAGGTAGTGAACTATGGTCAATTATCGCATTCCTTCGGCTTCTACTAGTGCAACCTTCCATTGAGCGAAGATGCCTTCCTGCGCAGCGAGTGAAACAGGTAGGAATAGGATGGCCCGCGTTTCCGATATCGTTATGCTAAACGATGAGGAGGTAGTCTAGACACCAGTATGTTCAGGCGATATTCCGGTATTAGCCGCGGACCTACATACGTTAGATAGCTAAAGTATATATCGTCTAGACTGTGAGGGCCGAGATAAGCAACGAGAGCATAATTTAGTTCGATAATGCAAAAAGAACGTAGCTATTGGCTTCTGCACGGCTGAATGACTGAATTGAGTTTCAGTCTCTACGGAATATTGTACCTATCTTGGCCGATGTTGTATACCATAGATAGACGCAATGCCTGAAGTCCCAGGCCAGGCTCAGAGGGAGAGCATGTGGACAAGCCGCATGGAATTCTAGAACCATCGCTGCAGCATGCGCAATATCGGACCATCATAGCAGCAATATTGTTTCCGACCTCCTGCCGATAAGTGTGAGTGTGATATGGGAACATATTGACTCTCTTCTAGAATATGCCAAATGTGATCAAGTGATCAACAATTGCTCCGGGTCTCGGGATAGTGTCTAGACGAACTCGGTCCTGGACCATTGTTGTCTTGACTTTGACAAGTCTCATACCTTCCCGATGCGCATGCGTTCCGTTCGACTATACGCTTCGCATTCCTCGGCTAATTCTCGCACTTTGATCGCACGCTGGGGTGGTCAGGCATCGATTTGCCATCTCTAGGTTGATTCGTGGCCCCTGAACTAGTTATTGGCTCGTCGGAAGCACACCAGCAAATCACCGCCGTTGCCGACTCATGGTACGGAGTACTTTCCATCAATTATTTTTGCTGGTCAGGTAAGCTGATTAGATGAGATTGCAGGAATTGAATTAGATGCGTGAAGGTACGGCGAAGGGATTATTAGTAAGTGATGGACTAAGTTGACCTTTTTTCGCCTTCTAGGAGACCCGCCTGGGATCATCCTAGCCTTCCAGTTGGCCTTCCGGTCTATCTGAGTTTTGACGTTTGCCGAGTGCGGTACTGGATTCGCCCCAGAGAGCTCTTCCATGATTCATCCAACGCCTTCCTGGGATGAGCGATGCCACCCCAAGTTCATGACCCGATTACGCAAAATTTTAGTTCCCGTTCTCGCCATGGGATGTTAATTATGGAGGGACTGGCTCCACTATCCGGGTTATCTCACACTCGGTACTCCACTTCTCCAGCATTTCAAACAAGGTTGGCTCTCTTCTATGATGACTATGTAGACACGCAATAAGCCCATTGCTTGTTGGTGTTCTGGAGGCCTGGCGCCGACGTCAGAATGGTTCCCTCGGGAAATATATATGCCCATCCATGGTCCTAGGAGGCGAACAACAGAAATCTTATCTAGCGCGTTTATGCAGATATTTTGGATTTGCCTCTTATACCCAGCTCTTATCTGAACTTCTTCTGCTCGACAACCAGCCTGTTCGCAATTGTATAGAGCATTGGCCTGTCCATTCAAGTTCCGCAGGTCTTCAGTTGCGTTTATCAACTTCGACCTGTTGCCACCTACTGGAAGGTCAACGCTTGCTGAACATTCTGAGATAAGGCGGTTGTGGCAAGTTAATTTAAGTGGGAAGGGTACCGAGCTTCCTACGTCCAGCCTTTTATGAAGCAGCCCCTTTGCACTCGTAGGGCACTTGTGCTGACTGCCACTCGGATGCGACAGCTGTGAAGCCTCGCTTGACACTCGATACTTAAACAGCTGATATCAGCAATTGAGTTGGGATCAACCAAAGCTCTGCCGACGACTCCAAGTCCGGAGTCGTTAGAAGTGAGTCCGGGGCTCCAGCACGACGTTGCATTAATCGCACGTCCCCTGCTCGGATCAGAATCAGAAAGATTGGTCTTTCACACGCCTCCAAGGTATCTGATCTAGGGCAAAAATGGCGCCAACAATGCTCTCCCGACCTGCAGCAAACATTACGCCGCCAGAGATTCTGCTGCAAATCTTTTATTTGCTTAATCCGCGAGATTTCGACAATGCTCGGCGAACATGTTCTCAATGGATGCGTGCTAGTCTCGATAAGAACTTGCTGGAGAGCATGCTGAAGCGGGCAGGATGGTGGGATGCCTGGAAACAGGACTGCCACAATTGCCGCGTTGATCCTTCTTCAATCGAGCAGAGTCTGGTGTGGAGAATGAGCAGGAGATTTGCCACTGAATGTATATTGTCTGGTCGCAAGTCTAATGTGGAAAAAGCTGGCTTTTTGACAACGGGCGTCGTTGATTTCTCTCAACTTTCTCAGGGACAGTCTCTCCTGAAACACCGGGTTTCTGTACCCCATGCAGTTGCTGGCAGTGTCATGAGCCCTGATTCGAGACCTCTGGCCACGTCGAGATTCCATGTCAGCAAGTGTGCCAACTATCTACTCGTTACCTCCGGCCGCATGATATACGTGTATAGTCTACTCTCGCGGAAATCTGGAAGCGATGTGTCTACAACAATGGATGTTTCGACAGATTTGGATATTGCTCCAGTTACCAGCATCATCTGTCCTGTCGAGGTAATATCAGCTAGTATCGACACCAGTACTCCGAAGATCGTGATTGCGGCATTGCTACGTGACCGTCTGGGATTTATTTCTGACTTGAATGCATCGGATGAGCGTTCCTCTACACGACCAGAAGTTATGCAGTCTTTGGATCCGTCGTTTATCCACTATTTCCGCGATATCTGCTCCCCAGAAGATCCTCCCCGGAGCGTCTCGATCTGTCCGGGCCGTCGATGCGTTGCTTTTGGCTCCGGTGCTGGCATTGAGCTGCATTGGGTTGACGAGAAGACAAAAGAGAACCAGAGAAAGCGGTTTCCCATGTCGCAACCATCGGAGATACTACACTTCCTTCCCCATCGGCCGGAAACACCCATGGAAATGCGGCTCATCTCATCACTGGCTGGACCAGGGATGCCAGGTTGCGAGTGCCACAAAGTGTCCTACGGGGAAAGGCGTGCCCCTTGTCAGTTTCACCTTCTGACTGACGTACAATCCCTTACTCGATGGACTCCGTCAAACAACAACAGTTTGAGTGTTGTGAGGGCAACCCATTGTCACCATTATCGAGCTATCCCAATCAAGGATGGATTGCATATCCTGTTCATTGAGCCCCGCACGGGTCTACTCTGTATCGGCTCTGACGCGCCTATCGGTGGACCGACAAGCTTAACACAGGCACTTGTCTGTGTGCCACCGTTTGAAAAGGATTCCTTGAATGTTTCTAAGGATGATCTGCCTCCTACAGTCTTCGCTTCAGGATGGAATCTGGACTGGGGATTGCGCGTGGTCGCTGCGTATGGCGATAGGATCGTACTATATTCGGTACCGGTAGATGTGTACAATGTCATCCGGAAAGAGCGCGAGAGGCAAGGTGACGGTGTCATGGGAGACAGTGATCTAGCAAGGGACTTTTTCCTCGACCATTCGCGGTCAGCAAAGCGACGGGACAGTCTTGTGCAAGACCAGAGCGGCGATTGGGAGTTCCTTCTCAGTGTCAGCTGGCGACCGACGGTGATGATGTGGCCATTCAAGATCTATGGCAAGGAGATTGCCCGTATGGAAAACGTGGTTGAACTGGCTCTTCAGTCTGCCTCTGGAGGTGCGCGAATCTGGGCCTTTGGCGCTAACGGTGAAACAAACATCATCGACATCGACACCTTCAGCTCGAGCAATCAACCGAGTTCCAGCATTCCTTGCAAGTCATTAACCATTGATGCTGATGGCAATATCGCCTCGGCTCAATGGGTGGACAGGACCGACTCCGGGTTGCTGACCACGGAATCCTCGCGCAAGCGCAAATTACCTGATTCTCGGGAGGACTTTGGTGGTCAGCAGTCTGCCATTTGTCGGCTACCACGGTTCTTACATGAGGGATACGTTCCTACGAACAATATTCTACCCCCAGCGCTTCCCGGTGCTGCTGCACGCCGCCCATCCTTTGCCGCGTGCATTGTGGATTTCAAGATCCCCGAGCTGGGCAAGCGCGAGGGTACCTGGGTGGACGGTGCTTGTGCTTGAGAAGTTGACAAAAGAGCGTTCAGCGGTGGATTGATTTTATGTTTTTTTGTGGATGCAACATAGCGCGGCGCATGCATTTGGTCTATGATCTATACCCGTCTATATCACTCGACTTCAGGCTTAGTTAGCAATAAAACTTTGAATTACCTCGTTACTCAACAAGCAAATTCATCTAGAGTTCATCTCGATCCATGTCATCTCTGCTTCTCTTTCCGCTTTCCTTGCCCCGTAAAGTAGATCTTATGACAATGTGGTGCAATATGTTTAATAATCTCAGGCCTGGGGGTTGCTGCGTCGGCATCCTCCCTGATGTTAATCAGGTGGTGGGCTATAATCGGCATCCGAATGTAGGGAAGCGATTTAATCGGAGGCCGAAGTTTTTCAAAAATGGTCCGAAGGGGCCATGAAAGTACGTAAGACCTTGCATGCGCTGGTCCCAATATCCTTTTTACTACTACATCATGGAGACCCGGTTGCATGAGCATGCTGGCTTTCCTGATATTCAGTGGATAGCTCCAGTCGATCCTCAATATTGGGCTTGGATGTTCATTTTGTACAGATGACCTCTGTGAAGTGACAGCAGTGATAGTGGATAGAAAGTCAAGAGCAATGGCATTCCTGTACTCTAACCAGTAGAGGATTTGAAGGTGAATGACCACAGGAGCCTCTGTGGTCTAATGCACGCTATCAAGTTTTGAATGGCAGGTAGCCGAGACCGGAAGCAGAAGCTCTCTTGAGGTAGCTAGCGTTCATCGTGTTTCAGAAGGGACAACGAAAAAGGCCATATAGCGCCAATTGAATTAAAATATCTCAAGTATGTAAACCCGAAACAGACTTTGTGGACAACGCTATTTTCATCGAGCATCGCCCGCATCGACATATCAAATGCTTTTGTTGAAAGGGCCAATGAGGGCCGACGAGAAAAGAAAATTAGGCAGAAGGTCATAAAATTTAGTGAGAAGCGCCATTGACAGCGAGCTTTTCTCTCCGGGTACGCACGGCTTGTGCGAGAGTTTCGAGGACAGCTTCCGAATCCTCCCAATTGATGCAAGCATCTGTGATACTGACGCCGTACTTGAGACCAGCCTTTCCCTCGGGAGGAACCTTTTGGTTACCTAAATTGCGAGTTAGTTGACTGAAGTTCAAGTCTCACACTATGTGAACGGCAGCTTACCCTCATTGATATTGCTTTCGATCATGACACCCATAATGGCGGTCTCACCCGCGGCAATCTGCTCGGCCAAAACGGCAGCCACCTTGGGCTGATTCTTGTGGTTCTTCTGCGAGTTGCCATGGCTGCAGTCGACCATGAGACGGGGAGGCAGACCTTGAGAGGACAACTTAGCCTTGGCTTCGGCGATGCTCTGAGCGTCGTAGTTGGGGCCCTTCTTTCCACCACGGAGGATGACGAAGCAGTCGGGATTGCCCACGGTGCCAACAATGGCGGCAACACCAGGCTTTGTGACAGAAAGGAAGTGGTGAGGGTGCTTGACAGAGCCAATGGCGTCCACGGCAACATCTAACGAGCCATCGGTACCGTTCTTGAAACCGACGGGGAAAGAAAGACCGGAGGCCAATTCACGGTGGACCTGCGACTCGGTTGTCCGCGCGCCAACCGCACCGACGGAGAGACAATCGGCAAGGAACTGAGGAGAAATGGTATCCAGCATCTCACTGGCGATGGGCATGCCCTTGTTGGTCAAATCGACAAAGAGCTGGCGCGAGGTGCGCAGACCCTTGTTGATCTTGAAGCTGTTGTCGATATCGGGATCGTTGATGAGACCCTTCCATCCCACTGTTGTGCGGGGCTTCTCGAGGTAGGCGCGCATCACAATCAGCAATTCGTCATTGTATTTCTCCTTCATTTTCAGAAGTCGATCGCAGTACTCGAGCGCCATGTCGGGGTCGTGAATCGAGCATGGCCCGATAACGACCAGCAAACGCTGCTTGTCGGTATCTGTGCCATGGACAATCGAAGCAGCCTCTCGGCGAGCTTGCAGTACTGTTTGCCTGGACTTATCTGTCATGGCGATTTCATGTTGCAGGAGGTTAGGAGGTGTGAGGGGGTTGTATCCTCGAACTATTATTCATTTGCAAGAAAGCTCGTCAATGAAGGTCGTCATGAAGATTGGGGAAAAAAAGGAACATACTCCGCGAATCTTCGAGGTGGTCATTGTTCCCTACGTTAGGGTTGTCGATGAAGAACTATAAAGCTTGAATGAGCTTCCTCGTTACATAGGAGACAACGAGCTTGGTTGGGACTTCGACTCACAGACATGGCGGGCGGCGGGGTAAAGTAAGCGTCTCACACTGATAATGATAATGGTGAGTAAGAGAGGGGTAAAGGGAAAGGGATAGAGGGATGGAGCAGTCCGGGTCGACCGTAGGTTATTTGAGACGTGAATTGAAAGAAAAAGAGCGCCTCAATTTTTGAAGACCAGCTTAATCCCCGAATTTCACTATGAGTCAAAAATTTCAACGTCTTTTGGTGCCCTTCCTTGCTTGTCCTGCTGCGACTTCGGCCACCGATCACCCATGCACGTGACTTCGGTGAGTCAAGGGATGCCTGCGCTCTTGGACATTTGGTGCATTCTTCTCTTTCACATTCGCTGCTTCTGGTAGGTAGTTGGATACAACTCAAGGACGACCTTTCAAGTACTCCGTACTGTACATCACATATCTGTCTTCCTGCAATACCATGGCACACAGAACATCGCTAATATACGTAGCACATGCTGCCAAGAGGATTGTTGACCCGAATTATCGACGTCCACTACGGTTAATGATATGACCCTTCCATCGCTTTGATCCAAGCCTGGTCCCTGCGAGGTTGCCATCATTATGCAAGCTGCATGTGCAATTGATCATGAGTCTTTTAGAACCTTTTTCAACGTTAGACCATCAATCTTCCACACTGAGATCCTTCAGTAAACGCTGCTCATGTTCCTGAAGTCGATGGATCAACTCCTGACAAAGAGCTGAGTGATGGCTTTTGATCGCTTTCATATGCTGTTTACATAGCTTGATCCGCTCTTCCTGCCTCTTGACAAGTTGGTCTAGCACTTGGTTGTATTGCTGGCGGTATGAGTTCAGGAATCTGTTGATGGCCGCCCTTTCCTTGTCAAGTCCGTGCAGTAGGTGCTTTACGCTGCGTTAGCAATAACACAGTCGTCATGCATTGTGTAATGGCATTGACATACCTCGTTTGTAATCAGTAGCATATCGCGGGCACTCTCATGCAATGACTGCAATGATGATGCTAAGTCAGCCTGACCAGGCAACTCCTCGCTGCTTAGACTCGTTTCAGTTGGATCACAGCTGGAATCCATGAAGCACCCTTCTTCCTTGGATGAAAGCTGCGTCGCTCCATCGCCTTCTGCATTTGACCTGCCCAACCTTCTTGGGGACTTTTTGGGTGGCTTCGATGAAAAGCGCATCGTAAACTCCTTTCCTGATGCGGTTACGAGTTTTGACACGATCAACCCTTCTCTGCAACCAGTCACAGGACTTTCAGAAACTTCCTCGTGCGTTGCTGCTTCGCAGTTTCCTGGAACATATTTGTCGCGATGAGCATCCATCTTTGTACGAAATGAAGAGACCTCAGGTGTCTCAAGAGGAATTTCTTCTGGTTGCTCATCAAAATCCGCTTCGTACCCAGATTCACTAAATCCTTGTGAAATCAAATTCATTCCTGCCCGCACCAGTTCTCCGGATCCTTGCGTAAAGTCGAGGTTTGCGTGAGTAGAGCATTGGGATCCAGCAATGTGGGCAATGTGTCGTGAGACCAGCCGGGGACTCCCATTGTTGTCAACTATGGTCTTCATGGGAGTCAGCCTCGGAATGGTCTTAACACGAGAGAGTATCTTCGGGCTGCCTGAATCTGACGAATCTCCCTCTTCGGGTTTCCGTCTCTGGCGGATCAACTTGAGACTGTGATAACCAGACGTGGCCCTTTCCCTTTCTCCAGTCGTAATCTGCGCTCTGCCATTTCCGAGGTCTGCCTTCTTCAAAGCATATAAGCCAGGCTCGCTTTGCCCTAGACCACAAATTTCCTGGGATTGGCATTCAATCTCATCGGCCTGGCTTTCTTTTTCACTGCTGGCCACCGTTGAGAGCTTTGTCTGTGCTTTCTTCTTCCGCGATGCATTTTCTTTCTCTGTCTGGGCAGCCCTCCTTTTCCTGCTTCTTAGCCTCGTTGATGGAATCTGCTGTATACTCCCAGGATATTCCTGGCTAGTCTGTTCCTCCGCTACTGCTCGCTCGGCATCTGAAGAGAGATGTGTCGTTCGGTTCGTCCGAGACACTATGGCCTCCTGGGGCTGTACCTTGACCTCACGCGTCTCGGAATCTTCATGCTGGCTTTCGTCGTCTTCTTTGTCTACTGAGCCAGTCACTCCGTCACGGATAGTGGAATCGTCCTCCTTTTCCTCTCCCTGGAGGTAAAAAGTGCAACCATGATGAAAGGCGGAAGCCAGCTTCTCACCCACGACTGTTCCTCTACCTCCAAGCTCACACTCTTTGAAGTCAGGATAGGAAACGATATGTGTCTCTTCACGGTCAAAACTTGGCATTTGAATTTGCGGATTGGGCGTTTGGCTTGCATGTTGATCGCCTGCGGCCCTGGACGACTCGAAAATGAGCGGGCAGCCTATCTCCTGTGCCTGATCCATCAGGAATGCAATACTTTGCTCGACTCCCGATACCTCCGTGACTGCAACCAGTGCAGCCTCCGGTGCCTCGTCGGTAAGGCTTTCAGGCTGTCGGGGAGGGCCGCCTTCAGCACTGTTGTCCATAGACTCTCTATCCGCCTTGGTGCGACTTCTTTTCGAAGTTTCGCCCTCAGCGTTCACCTCAGGCATGTAGGTTGCATCCACCGTACCTTCCAGTTTTGATTCTTGGGCCAAACTACTTCCTTTAATCTCATGCTGGCCCTTTCTGTTGTCCAGACCCACCTTTCTGGAGGTCTTTCTGCGCTTGTTGGACGATGTCTTGCCCTTCGACTTTCTTTTGGTCCCTTTACTGGAAGCCTGTTCAAAAATAGATTTCTCCCCGGGGAAAGGAGACGAAATGGATGTGATATCAATACTTTTCTGACTTTCGAGCTGTTCAGGCTCATCGCTTGGTCGTAGATCTTCATCCCAGTCAACAGAAGTTCTGACATGAGTGTAGATCTTCCTTGTAGCATGCCGCATCGGAAAGATGAGGGATTCCTGGGTGTCAGGCATTAGGCCTCTAGCCCATTTACTACTTGTTAATCCTCTCTTCTGCTGGTGCCTTCTGGGGCGCGGTCTACTTGTTCGAGCGGGTAGCCAGCCAGCATCATTTTCTTCAGGCGCATGGGAATGGCTAGTGTGGTCATGTGGCGGACCCTTCTTCCATGAGCCAGTATCAGTCTCTGCGAGGGCGCAATCAAAGAGCCCTTTGTGCGGGTTCTCGGCTGAGTTATCAGAATCCTCCTTCAGGGTTAGAGGATTTCCACCTTCTTCTACCATACTTCGTCCTGTTGACTTCCGTTCAAATGCCACGGATGGCCTCTCACAACCGTGCTGGTTCGAAACATTATGGTTGGAACTAAGCGGATGCAAAGTCTGGAGGCTATCTCCCATGGCAGAGGTTCCGCGCGCTGATTTAGATTGTTGAGACAAGACGGTACGGTCATGGCTGCCGGACGTCGTTTGTGGTTCACGGGACTTACTTTCAGGCTGATTCCCATTTGACCAAAGGCGATACACGGCGCTTTGCTCTTCATTTTCGAATAGTGCCTGGCTATGGTCAAATGACCCGCTGGCATCATCATCATAAGTATCAAGCGATATTATAATGGACGATGACATCCGGGTCAGCGTGCTCAAATCTGTGCTTTGCCTTTTCATCTGCTTGTCATTCGTCTCAATTGCCGTATGCAAATCCGCCAAATCATGACGCGATGATAAACTAAGGGTCGATTCTCCTGAGATTTGTCTCTTCCCATTCACTGATAGCGAAGCATCCACATCAAATTGTAAAATCAAGCGGGACATTCCGCCACCTGTGTATTGCCTGGATGTGCGCTGAGACCCCAGAGTAGAGCGCATCGAGATATCGATGAATTGGCAGAGCTCTCCAGATGGGCGAGTTACAGCAAGTATGAATATCAAAGACTCCGGGCTGACTACGCCGAGTACCTCGGATCCCTGTGCTAATGGCCTGTTCTCGCCATTGCCCGACAGGACCAGGTCGCAAGATGGCACAAGAATAGTGTATTTCTCAGGTTCCGGCTGTATACGTCGCACTTCGCACTCGTAATGATGGAAGAACTTGATCGGTTCCTCTGGGAAAACCACCATGCTCCTGGAAAGCATATCCAGCAATTTACAGTCGCGCGCATGACCGAGTCGCTCGACGTCTTTCTGGGAAAGGTGAAGTGTCTGCATAAAGGCCCCCGCGAAGAATCTTGTCACGGCATCATTTTCGTATAATATAATCGAGGTAAGTCTATGAAGTCCTAGGAGTTAGAAAGGCCAAGAGTACATGACGACCTTTTCGCTTACTGAGTTATAGACTCATCCTGGATTTCGAAAGGCAGATTCATAACATCCTTAGTCCCAGGCCATATTTCCACGAGGAATTTGCCCGCCTGAAAAGGTTTAGTACTTGCTCAAGCAGTCAGAGAGTGATAACGGACCAGTCGTCGTATGTGCTTGTTTCGCTTTTCGTCTATGAATAAGCCGTATAGAGTCTGAATCAGCTTGCGTTCAACGAGCTGCAGCTGATTTCGAAAACGAAGCAGTGTCACTTCGGACCTTTTCCTTTTTGTCCCGACGACATAGATTGATTCGTCCTGCAGAGATCAGCTTCGTCGTGCTCCTTGTCGACTCAAAAGGCACAGACAAACCGACAAGCAAGAGATTCAGTCCAGTTTCCTGCTCCGACTCGACGTCCAAATTGAGAAGTAAATATGCTAGACAATGCACAGAGGTGGTGTTCAACGATTGCACTATATCTGCTTCGTATCTGTGTAAAACGTCAATGACCTTTTGAAGATGCTGTGCGCGGATAGGCGTTTCGATGCGTAAAAAAGCGTCGATCAAGTAACTAGGGACACTGCATGAGGTCAGTTTATTATAAATACATCCCTGTTGACTCGAAGACTGACAGGAATTCTGCGTCTTTTGCCTCCCCGGTGAAAATGCTCTCTAATCTTGTCGCCAATTCGGTAAAGTCAGCCAGTTGTTCGTCTGTGAGAACTGCCTGTGGCGATGAAGAAGGCATTTCGCAGCTCTAGGCATGGCTTTGATGCCCATATGCAGTTCTCGATGTCAATTCATTACGGATAGAATATAATTGATGGACGAGAAGAGAAGGAGGTGCCCCGTCACATGATGGGGCTTCACTCTGAGGAGTCTTCTGCACACGCTTGGCCAGAATCAGCTTCTTGAACCGAACTTCCTATTTATCGGATGGCTTGAGATTCCCTTCCTTGGCCATTATATCTATTTGTTTTCCTTGGATCCGGATTATTGCGTACTACGAGGGAAGTGGAGCTACAGAGACGTATACAGCTGCCTGGCACAGGTTGACTCGAGAAGATCTTCAGCTACAGAAAGTCCGAGTCGCATCTCACCCACAATGAACAATCTGCTGTTGATTATCTGTCGTGCCAGAGACATATGGCGTTGGTCATTTCAAAAAAAAAAAAAAAAAAAAAGGTGACCTTTCCATGAGTCTTCATCCCTAGAAGCTCTTGCTTTGGGATAGGCAAGAAACTTAGAGAGCGAACCTGCTGGGTCTGCTGGTTTAAGATCTGATATCTCATATACCAAGCTTCTACAAAGCAAGAGGACACTCATGAAATGCGAACATACGAGAGAAAGCTCTCTATAGTAAAAGTATCGAGAAATCTGCTTCAACACCAGGGTCCGCTGAAAGGGCGCCGCCAACGAACTGAAATGTGAGGATCAGCAAATCTGTTTGTTTATGTCTTGGAATGAAGTAGCAATGCGGCTGACAACTACGGTTGGCAAACAAGGAGGTTGTCATGTCTCGCGTATTCGATACCTTTCTCTAAGCGATGCAAGGTCCTCTGCTCCCCTTAGTGTACGAGGCTCGGAAGTGAGTAGAGGGTTGTCGAGACTCGAGAAGTCATGCAGCAGATATCTGGAACGGTCCAACGTTTCCAACAAGCGCAGGCAAGTGCTTATGATGTCGGGTGGACTGTGCCGTTGAGCGGCTGACTCAAATGTGACAAGGTCTGTATATTGTCGCTAGTTATCCTCACGTCGATGGCAGAGCCGAAATTGGTATCCTCGGCCTTTGGACAGCCGAGATGCTTGATTGATGTTCGATAAGCGGTGGCTTTAACGGATTGCTGTGTCGTTTGAGTGAATCGCCTTGGTACCGTCCATCTGACCAATAGGTTCCACTCTTCTGGAGACTCGCAGTAAGGCCACACCCTCAGGTTATGTCGGACGACGCACCAACCAATGACGACAGTGGGGTGATTGCGGTGGATGCTTATCAATCACGTAGCATGCAGAGCTTGATGAGGTCGTGCCTGATGGAGCTAGATTTAAAGACGTCAATTGTACCTAGATTGCAGCTCGACCCTAGTTCCGGATCAATTGGTCAAGAAGGCTTATTTGAACTTTCGAAATCCAGATTTCGGCTAAAGATACGCTCGCTCAGTACCACTGTTTCGAGAAATGGCGGGAACAAGGACAATGAAAGCAGTCGGTCAGTCTTCGTCTTGTCTGCTTTTGAATCTGGTCTAGAAGTTGTTATTGACAGAATATTAGCTGTGAAAGGCGGCACAGGTCCTGCTGATGCCCTCTACATTGATGACATCCCGGTTCCACCTATCAGTGGCAACCAGGCGCTGGTGAAGATCAAAGCATTCGGATTGAACCGGATGGATCTTCTTCAGCGTGAGGGCCAGTATCCGCTTCCGCCTCAGGCGCCAGAGACCATGGGAGTGGAATTCTCAGGGACTATCGAGGACCTAGGACCAGACGCCAACGGGGACTTCAAAGTTGGAGATGAGGTCTTCGGCCTGGCTTATGGAGGTTAGCTCACGAAGCCTGCTATTCGTCTTACCACAGCTGACGCTTCGATGCACAGGGGCTTATGCTCAGTACATTGCAGTGTCTACTAATATGCTCATTCACAAGCCTGCGGAATTATCTTGGGAGGAAGCTGCGGGCATTCCAGAGGTGACTTCTACACGATCCCCGCCCTTTTGAGTGACTCCATCTAACTTCTACGCTATTAATAGACATGGATCACAGCGACTCAGGCACTCTATCTCGTTGGGGAGTACAAGCCGGGTCAGTCCGTCCTGTGGCATGCAGGCGCATCGTCAGTCTCCATTGCTGGTATCCAGCTCGCAAAGGCAGACGGAGCCAAGGCTATTTACGTAACCGCTGGCTCCGATGAAAAGATAGACTTTTGCGTCAAGAAGCTCGGTGCGACTGCTGGATTCAATTATCACACCCAGGACTGGTCCGCTGAAATCCAGAAAGCCACCAATGGAGAGGGCGTAAACATCATTGTCGACTTCATTGGCGCCAGTTACTTCCAAGGAAATCTGGATGCTGCTGCAAAAGACGGTCGCATTGTCAGTCTTGCTGTTATGGGCGGTGTGAAGCTACCTGAAGGCGTAAATATTGCGCCATTTCTTCGCAAGAGGCTTCGATTTGAAGGCAGCACTCTGAGGAGCAGAGATGAGCAATACCAGAAGAAGCTACGCGATACCCTTGTGGAGCATGCTTTACCCAAGTTCAAGGATGGAAGCTTCAAGGTGTTTGTGGAGAAGGTCTTTCCGATGGAGCAAATTATCGATGCGCATAAGTTGATGGAAAGCAATCAGACCAAGGGAAAGATTATCTGTACTGTGTCATAGAAAGCTTAGCGAGGTGCCATCGCCAACTCAAACGTGTCAAGAATTCCTGTGTCAGCTTCGTGCTCCTGTTGCCCCTAGTGGTTGATGGAAGGCTAAATCCTCCGACGGAGATATGGCCACTCCGTGCCGAGCACGGTCTTTCCGGTTCCTCCGGATGCCGATGGTTCTTTGCAATTCTGACACCTGTCGCTTGATTGCTCAGCAGAAATTGGCCAAGGCATCGTAGCATACGTAAACTAACTAAGACCTTTAAGAGAGCCTCACTCGCTGTCGCAATCGCGGAATGAACTGACGCAATTAGGAAGCTAACTGGCCACAGAAGCTAGGCTCTCTTAGCGCATTATCGGTTGGCGAAAATGACCATACAACTTCCTACTTCGGACGGGGAAGCAGACCTTGGGGCTACTTCACCCTCCAAGTTCAATGCCCTTCAAACATTCCGGCGACTATGGGAACTTGTCAGCCCAGCTCGCCCCGAGGATATCTCTTCCCGGGAGACCGATTGCCATCCTCCCAAGACCACCGTTCAGAGACGCCGACAATCCATCGCGGATCAGTCACTTGACAGAGACGAACACCTCGCTGAGAAAGTCACAAGTCACCAGATCGAGGATACTGTACCTCCCGAGAAGACTGTCCTGTACCTCGCCTATGGCTCGAACTTGTGTGCGAAGACCTTCCAAGGCAAGCGAGGGATCCGGCCTCTGTCTCAGATCAATGTCGTCGTTCCCAGCTTGCAACTGACCTTCGACATGCCCGGGCTTCCGTACGTGGAGCCATGTTTTGCAGCAACCCGGCGCCGTGCGCACCCATCAAAAGAGACAGAGACAGGAGAAGTTGGAGACGTTGAAAGCCCGGCGGACGCGGATACATCTGAGCAATCCGCCCTCCTATCGGAAGACTCCACATCTATGCCTCTCGTCGGAGTTGTATACGAAGTGACTATCACCGATTACGCCAAAATAATAGCAACGGAGGGTGGCGGGGGGGATACAAGGACATCGTAGTGGATTGCTATCCCTTTCCGAAATCCCAGAGCCCGACCGACCCAATACCCGAACATCCTGAAACCAAGCCCTTCAAAGCTCACACTCTTTTGTCTCCAAACGAGGACCCAGATCCTTGTCACATAACTGCAAAAGATCATCAACTCCCCCCTCCGTACAGACGTCGGAAATCTTGCTACGCCCAGCCGTCCGCTCGCTATCTCGATCTGATCAACACTGGCGCGAGTGAACATAACCTCCCGCTTCCCTATCGGAGGCACCTCTCGCAGTTCCAGCCGTACCGTATCACGACTGTGCGCCAGACGTTCGGCAAAGCCATATTCGTTGCATCATGGCTACCCGCTTTCATTATTATCATTTCACTTTCGAAACTGCTGGCCGGTCCCGATGGTCGCAGCCCGCCATGGCTCGTGCGGGGGTCGAATCTATTGGTTTATGTAATGTGGAGTACATATGATTACTTTTTCGCGCCCATTTTCGGTGATGGGGAGCGAACTATGAAAGACACGCGCTCATAAACAACAGGACTACGCTGTCCATCAGGTTGGTCATTAGGTTCGACTATGTTATATAGCAATTGATAGACGAAAGCAAATCCATGGACTAGTACATACATCTTGACCCGTTCACGAAGCCATCCGTGCCCACAGGGTAGATCTAAACTCGGATACTGCGCAGGTTATATCTTGCAGAATTTGTATCTCGCAAAGCGCACGAAAAGAGGCTCTAACATGACAAAGGAAAATGAATTGACATCTTTGGATCTTCGAACGAGATTTTCAAAAGGAGAAGAAATATCTAGGGTACAGATACAGGAGTCCTGAGTAACTTGTAACAAACAAACATGCAGTAGAAGCATAGACAAAAAACCGACGTATGAAGGACTGCCGACGACCCGAACCGGACGATTTTCTGGGCTCGCCATTCGCCATCTATGCCTTCACTTTTGGTATTTCATACATGTCCACTGCAGCATTCTAGCGCCGGGGAACGGGAGGGCTGTACACGATCTTTCTCGTCTTGATGGGGGCCCACTTGTAACGCTTGACCCAGACGGTCAGGGCAAACAGACCGGTCAGGATGACGAGGGCCTTGGCACCCATCTTCTTACGGTCATCCATCTCAGGCTCCGCAGCCCAGTTGAGGAACTCAGTGACATCCTTGGCCATCTGGGAGGTGGTGGCAGGGGTGCCATCCTCGTACTCAACGACACCATCGAACAGGACACGGGCCATGGCAATACCTAAGACACAGATTAGTCGAGAGTGAGATCAAGTATGGTCACGAAACGTACCGGTGCCGGGGAAGTAAGGGTTGAAGTTCATGCCCTCGGCGACCTGAGCACCAGCAGGGGGCTCATCGGGGTAACCGGTCAGAAGGCTGAAGATGTAGTTGCAGCCACCGTGACGACCCTTGACGATCAAGCTGAGATCAGGGGGCAGAGCACCACCGTTGGCGGCACGAGCGGCCTCCTCGTTCTTGTAGGGAGGGGGAATGTAGTCAGAGAGCTTTCCGGGGCGTTTCTCGATCTCGCCTTGGTCGTTGGGCTCGGTGTCGTATTCGTTCTCTTCGGCGAAGGCCTTCATCTCGTCGACAGTGTGCATGACACCAACGAACGAACGCCAGGGCACACGGGTAAGAGAGTGGCAGCTGGCGCAGACCTCACGGTAGACCTGGAAACCACGGCGGAGACTGGAGAATATATGATGAGCAAACCGTCTCTTCTTGAGCTAGAAGCGAAAGTGGTTCCAAGTCAGGGCAAACTCACGCGGCGTGATCGAAGGTCTTGTTCCACTTGGCGTGCTCCCAGGGGTACTGGGTAGGATGCAATCTATAATTTCATGTGTCAGCCTCCACGCCATCCTGCAGTCGAATATTTGACACTCGGTATCGGAGCAACGGAAAAGGCCAATCGGATGACCATTCGTCCAATTGATCGCAATCGGTTCACTCACCCCTCCTCAGCGGGTGTCATAGCAAAAGCTTCCTTTCCATAGAGGCTGTAGTACCAAGCGGCGGATCCGATGGCGGCAGCGGTTGCGACGGACGCAGTGAGTGTGAGGTGGAAGGGGGAACTGGCGGCTTCGGCACCGGCTGTCGAGGAAGACGCACGCTGGGTAGGTTGTTAGCAAACAATGCGTCTCAAGGCCTCCAAGTTCATTTCTCAAGCGATTGGCCTCATCGACTCCGCTTAATGGGCGTGAGGTGTCGGGATGATGCGTACCGTAGTGGTCTTGCTCAACGACTGGCGGGCGATACCCCGGGAGGGCACGCTGCGCAAAACAGTACGTGCCAGCATACTGACGGTAATTGGAACCCTCCGAACAATAGGCTAAGAGGAAGGCACAATAGCCACAGACGGTGGAGAGGGGAGGGGAGGGGAGTGGGAATAGGCTCAGCGCACAAGAGGATGTGCTTTTGGAGGTGAAGTTGAGGTTGTCGAACCGTCAAGTTTCTCTTGGGTTTGGAATTGGCTAAACCCTCGCGCTGATTGGCTGCCGCCCCGGCTCTAGCTGCCTTCGGTGAAAACCGCGAATTCTCGGAACAACAAATTTCAGTGATCAAGCCAGAGCAGTACCATAGCCATTTAGAAACAAACACAGTCGACTCTTTTCTAGCTGCAATATACTACAATATTACGATTACAGTATCTGAAGAATACGTTTCACATTGGATCGCAGCCAATTCGTACCTAGCTCTCGAGGCTATCCGACCACCCTCCGGTCCCGTAGTTTGCCGTACGGAGTAGTATGGAAGTGTGCGGTTCGTCACATGGCCTCAGTCTTGGCCTGGATCTCCGACGCTATGCACTTTTGCAATGCTTGAAGCGCGGCTCGAATGTCACATCGGGTGCTGCTGCAATGAAGCACCAAAGATAGAGCAGGCATTCTTCTTATCGTACGACCGCTCAGTCCCTATCATAACTGCCATTAGGAGCCTGTCACTATGTCATTCAACTGAGGATGTGTCGCTCACCACACTGGCGGAAGCGGCATCCGCAAGCTGCTTAGGTATGGCGTTCGGGAAGATCTGATAGTTGAGAAGCATCTCTTCAAACATTGGTAGCATCAAGGACTCTGCAGGCTGCTCCACATATTGCAATGCCGTCTGTGGATCTTCCGGATTGACTTGAACAACGTCAAACGAAGCGCCCTCGATAATGCCTCGCCGGCTTAGTTCTTCCAGACACTCTTTATAGATCCCATAAATGGTTCTGTTGGATAAATGAGGTACGAACTGCTTGATATCGACGCGATCGAGGAAGGCCTGGTCCTAAACGAACTTCAGTAAATTCCCCTCGGCAAGGCTCTGCGTGATGACCACTTACCAAAGCTGTGACCAAATTGCTCGTACAGATCACAACAACATTGTGATGCTGCTTCAGCCGGTCAAGTCCTGTGAGTAAGGCATTAACTGCTCGAACAGCGTCAAAGGGCTCTTTGCTACTCAGAGCGCGTTCCCTTCGGGCTGCCAGCGTTTCGATTTCGTCTACAAACACGCAGACGAAAGTATCTTCCTCCTCCTCAAGCAGTAGCTCAATGCTCTCGAACGCTTTGCTGACCAATTTGCCACTTTCGCCGAAAAACTTGCTTCCGAGGGAGTGAGCGTTGATCTCAACCAGCTTACTCTGTGGGTAATGCTTTCCGAGGCGTATCGCAAGCTTCTGGGACAGGCCGCGGCTGATGCTGTCAGTCAACGATTGTAACTTGATCTTGATTAACCCACCACAGGCTCGTTTTCCCTGTTCCCGGGGGACCCCAAATCAGGATTAACCTATTCCAGTTGATCGTCCATTTATCAAGCTTCCGAGCAGAGAAGGACACTGCCAGATCGTTAAATGCGATTCCTAAAGATGCAGTATCAACGAAAGATTACCCACCCATTCGAGTTATGGCGCGGAGTAATGTTGACTGTAGAGGCTGGTCGTAATGCAGACTGCTCATATCCGTGAGTTCGATGCCGCTTCTTCAGAAGAAGAGGATCACCATACGACTCCCATAGCCCATCCAATTCCGTGCTTGGTAATATCAAAACTTTGGTGTTTCCTGAATCGTCCACATTATCCTCTAATTCGTCCTCGTGCAAGTTATGTTGGCTTCTCTCTTGATCAAGTTGTGTGCGAAGTTGATAGGCTTGGAGATCTAGTTGGACGTTTTGAAGACGGTATGCGCCGGACTCGAGATCACCGTCGGTACACTCGGTGACGAGTATCGACTCTAGAGCCTGTGCATGTGGCTCCTTCAGACCCTCTAGGCTGGTATCAGACGCTGTTCTTTAGTTTTTTTCTTGTTCTAGAAATACCGAAGGATTTTATCTTCTGCCCCAGAGATAGGACAACAAAATTTTCAATCAACCACTGTGTGATCTCACCCCTGATCTGTGATTACCTGACTTAGAATCTTGACAAGTTGTTGAGAGGTACAGAAGCGCAGTACCAGATCTGTGCGAACAATGATGCCGTCACTGCTACTCTTGACGCGAGCTTCCACATGGAGAACTGGCTGCTGAAGGACTTCCATCGAGGATGGGCTATGGAGCACAAATAGGAGCGCTCATTCCTTGTCGGCAGGAGATATGAGGTACTCTGTAACCTGTAACTACTAACTGAAGAAAGAAGCCTGAATAGATGTCTGCCTTTCGAAGAAAGATGAACGTGGGTGACGGAGTGGAATAGGTAGTGTTAAGCAGGACTGCGTACGATCCAGAGCCAGGTGCAGTACACACCGTCCCAACACAGCTTTTAGTATATCTGCTTGCTGAGCCTATCTATCGCATCTACAACATACATTGATATGCATGCAATATTTGCTTCTTAAAACTTACAGGCGGAGTCTCTCGGATCGATGCCAGATATATCTTCCATGCATATGATCTTCTCCGGTTTTAGAGCTTCCTCGTGTTACTTCATGCAGGTACCTGTTATGTAAACAAATGCTGAAGTGGCTCTGATGCCGTAGAATATATGTTCATCCTGTAAAGCCAACATGAGCCTTATTTTCCATCTACTTCGCAAACGGTTCAGTAAAAAAAAGCTGGTCGCTGGATTGCCATATCGCCTAAATTTTCTGTTCCTAATTTGACATAGTCATCATCAAAGAGATCTTGTACGGTCTAGGCACCATTCTGCTAATTTCCTGGGTATTGTTGGTTGGTGCCGGAGATCGGGCCACCGATCTGTCGTGTGGATTTTCCGGGGAACTCACCAGGCGAACTTAGTTATTTTGGCCAAGGCCTTAAAGGGTCCTTGGGCACATTGCCAGCCTTCAGCCGCAAACATAAATTATCGACCAGCACCACGGTCCATTCTGTTGGACCTTGGGGTTATAATTGACAATGTCTACTTGTGTCGTTTGAACAGGTAGCCTCTCTGCTCAACATTGGATCTCTCCCATATCCATCCTGCCCCGCAGTATATCCCCAGGGTGACTCCGCGGCCTCGAGCTTTCAAAGCTATCATCGGGAGGTCTGAAATATTTTCTCCCGATGTTAAACCCGAAACAACAAGATGGCGAACGCGAGGGATGGGCCGAAAGCTGGCGGGAAACCGCGCAGAGACGTATTGGCTTCACTCAAGATGGCCTCAATGGAGGAGATCTCCCGGGCTGCCCTTCCAGCAGGTATGCTGAACAGGATCAAGTGGCTCATATTGCCGGTAGTATATCTAGTTATATTAACAAATCTGACCACCACTAGAGATCATGTCCTCTATTCTCGATTACCTTTCGCCCGTCGATCTGATCCGTGCCGCACGGTCTTCGAAACTCCTGCGCGAAATGGCCTACGATGATACAAGATGGGTGCAAAAACTGAAACGCATGGGATGCTGGAATGAGTTTGAAGCTCGAAAACATATTGAAGAGACTTTTGGGACGATCGCGAACGTGGAGTCTGTCGAGCAGCAACAGGTCGCCGAGCAAACCGGACAACCAATTAGTGAACAAGCCCCAGCGATCAGTTTGAATACACTATCGGATGGATTTGATCAGATTAAACTCTCCACCTCTGTTCCTCCCGAAGAGGCTCGCGAGCTGGAGAAGGACCCTGTATTGGGCGCGTTGAAGCAAGTGAGATCAGTGCGCGGAGAAGCACGCGTTGAGTATGGAAAGGTCCATGCTGCATTGGCGCCGTTCTACGACGACATCGTCACATCTGGGCCATCCCCGGATAATTTAATATTCAAGGAATATCCGGATCCTGAGCATCAAGCGCAAATACTATTTCAATTGCGATTATTCGCTAAGTGCGATACAACCGAAGGTTGGCGGGAAAGGAACGCGCGCCTACAATCTGCCATATCAATGTTCGAAACAGCCGCTATGAAAGAATTTCGACAAGGTTACGAGAGTGAAGATATTGACGGCGCGATGCGCAAATACGCTCATGTTCTCTTCACTCTGAACGGCGGAGATTCCGCTTTAGAATTCTTCATCAACCATAACCACTTGATAACTCGAAAATCTGATTTGGGCAGGGTAGCGGACTGTATTGACGGCCTGAACCAACGGGTCAAGCTCGAACATACCCAGGCGTTCTTTACCAGGCTGAGTGTGGCTTACAACGAGGAAGTTTCGATAATCAACCGCGCCTTTCCCCCGAACATGAATGTTGGACCGGCTTTTGTTGAAAAGGTCGCACAAGACGTGCTATATCCATTCTTGACCGCGATCTTCGACGAGTTGCATCGTTCACATCTTGAATCATATCTAATCGCCGTCTCGGGGACATTCGCGCAGTGTCTGAACTTGTCAGAAGCACTCTTACCAATCCAGAACACAACTGACACGCTTGACGAATTTTTGCATCACATTGTGGCGAAAGTATACGAGCCTCACATTGATCTGTACCTTGCAGAAGAGCTGGACCACTTCCGGAAGAACTCTGCGGCTGTAGTGGATGAGTGGGATAGGCAACTGTCAGAGCAGGCCGCTTCAACTGAATCATTTCTGATGTCCAATGTCAATCGACAGGCTGACAAGCGTGACTTTTTGACGTCGTTTAAAAAGGTGATTATGGCGCCCGTCAACATTCTCCCCAGCTTTTCGAGCTCCAAGTCAAGCGAAACAAAATCCGATCAAGAGTCCGCCGGCAGCGAACCGTCTTCAGCGCTCAAGAGCCCGAACAGGTTTTCCACAATTGCGTCCCCTGCTCTTACCCCTACGGTTGAGGCCCCTCCCACCACAGAACTTGCAGCTAAGGCTGCCGTCATGAAGTCAAAGTTGGAGGGCATCCGGTCTCTGTTTAGTATCGAAATCGCTCTCAGCCTAGTTCACTCGGCCAAGTCCAGCCTCGACCGTGCCGCCCAGTTTGTGAAGATAGGAGGTGAGACTGGAGCGGCGGCCAAACAGCAATGTGAGGCGATATTTGTCTCGCTCTTACGTATTTTGGGACATCAACACCTTATTGTCGGTTTCAACAAAGCGGTCGACCATCTATCCAACTATAGACCTCGTGAACAAGGCGAGCGCGATCAGGCAGGGGTCGAGCCTCTAGTTACCTTCCTGGAACTGGTGAACGTTGGTGACCTTATCCTGCAAATGATGGATGTCTTTTACGAGCAAGAGCTTGTTGGGACCAAGATCACCGATCGGAACGATTTTCTCGATCCTGCCGTGAAGGAAAAGAAGAAATTCGAGCAGATCTTGGACGAACGTGTCGCTGCCGGATTGAACAAGGGTATCGATGTCCTGATGGAGGAAGTGGATTATATCCTCGCGACCAGACAGCATGCCACTGACTTCAATCCCGATGTCTCTACGGATCCCTACCGAAAGACCATGGATGTAGCTGTCAGTGAGGCGGCCGCGGCCGTGGTTGACGTCGTTTCGTCACCTACGCAGATGCTGGTAGGAAGCACGGACAAGAGCACGCTAGATGTCTTCAACCAGGAGGTCGGATTACGACTTTTCACAGCTCTGTGTAAGCATTTGAAGCGTCAGAGGATCAGCATTGAAGGCTCCTTGAAGCTTATAAGGTGAGACTGCCCAGGCTATTCATAGGTCGTGATTGATCTTTTCTGACTATTACTAGCGATATGAACCACTACTTTAAATTCATTCAAAGCTTAAAGAATAACGATCTTCTCCTCTACTTCAAAGCCTTCCGGGAGCTAGCGCAGATCTATCTGATCGATCCTTCTGATGCCAAAGAATTGGCGACGATCATTGCTGATGCAGATCGGTTCTATGGGATATGGAGGGTGGAGGAAGTCTACGAGTTCGCCGAACGACGCGCGGACTGGTTCCAGGTTAAACGTGACGTGGAACGCGCTATGTATGGGATTGGGTGTAATGTTATGTGATTATTCAATATGACTAGTATATATGATGATATCGGATAGACAGGCTAGAATACCCACATGGTTATACGGTCATCGATCAACGGATGGGACGGATGGCAATTCTCCACCTTGGGAAGTCCGGAGCTTCAATTGATATCACCGCCTGCAACTTTGAGTATTTTCTGAGGAACTCAATCTTTAAATACCAGCATCATCTAGAAGGCATCCCCGGAGAAGCTGAGCTTATCTTGATTTGATGCCGATAGACTTCCGCCAGTCGGACTGACGTCAATGAGCGGCTGCTGATACATAGCGCAAGCGCTCACAGCCACACACTTCCACCACTGCCTTGTTTTCATCCTATAAAGAGAAGATGCTGCCTGGAGACAAACATGCTGGGTAAAACGTCATGTTTCCCATTGTGTTTCGCCGTGGTGTACTGGAGTGATTGTTGTTTGAAACACGATGAATTGAACAGTATGTCTTGTCTCTGAGCCATCCAATACACTTTCCGACTCTTCTCACGCCATACAGAATCGCAGATAAACATGGACCACCGAGGTTAATCATCTGCTCTGCTTTTGTTTCATTTCAATTGCCATATACTTGCTCACTGGTGCGACATGAGTAGAGCACTTGCACTGAGTCTGTGTCTCGCACCGACACTTCCATATATTCCCAAAGAGATCATATGAATCACAGGACGAGGTACAACAACCCAATTAAAGATCTAACAGAATGATCCCTACCACCTATCGACTGCTCGCTGTCCCCATCTTCCTGTGGCTCCAACTACTCCACAGCATACACGCGAGCAACGCAGCCGGAACCACGGTCATAGTCACAGTAACACCCACAATCCCCCATCCAGCTTCCTACACTTCCCCCGAGATATTCAAAGATGCAGTCCTCTCAACCAGCAACGCTTACCGGCGCGACCACAACGCAAGCCAACTAACCTGGAACGAGACGCTAACAAAATACGCCAAACACTGGGCAGAGGGATGCAAATGGAAGCACTCAGTGAGCCAATTGCCCCTAGCCCTATCAATGTACCACTTAGCATCCAAACTGATAATCCCAGGGCGGCCCATACGGCGAGAACCTCGCCTTCGGCTACCAGGACCCAGCAGCCGCCGTCGCGGCCTGGGGCGACGAGGGCCAGAAATACAACTACAAGTTACCGACGGGATTCAGCGAGGAAACGGGCCATTTCACGCAGTTGGTCTGGAGGGCGACGAGGGAGGTCGGGTGCGCGGCATTCAATTGCGGGTATCAAGATGTGAGCGATGCAAAGGACAAAGAGGGTCGGTATACGAGGGCGCAGGCCTGGTATGTGGTGTGTGAGTACTGGCCTGCCGGGAACGTGGTTGGAAACCAAAATGCGTTATTCAGGGTGAATGTGCAGTCGGCGAGTACGTATTCTGGGCCGGAGACGACGGGTTCTGCCACTGGGACCAGTACGAGCACGAGTGCAAGTGCAACGGCAACGGCGACCAGTGGTGTTGAGAAATTGTATGATGGACGGCTGAGAGACCAGTATCAGAATGCTTTTGTTGGGCTCATAGTTTTTATGAATCTAGTATGATGTGTGAAGATGGAAAACCTAAATTTATGTACGGCTCTGCGAAGATCCGCTCGCTCATGCCTTGTCATCTCTCGTACTACCAACATCGCGTACATAAATTCCCATATAGGGAGATAGCACATATATCTATTCACTTTTTGAACGCTCCAGACACCTCTGGACTGAAACCAAGCCAAATTGATCATGGGAAGAGGCTCAAGGCGGAGAGAAAAACAGAAATCCCGATATGTTGGGAGAGAAATTGGCGAAGATGTCGATAGAGAAGAGTGAAAAGAAATAGGGTAGATAGAGGACAGCATTAGATACGAAAAAAGAACCCCAGTTAACCGATAACTTCCTCGCTCTCCTCGATGATCTCTTCGACAATCTCCTCCACAACAGTCTCGCCTTGCTCTTGTGTGGTTGCAAGGGCGTCCTTGGCCAACTTGGGGTCGTCGGCCTCCTCGGGGAGACCGTAGGCGTCCTTTTCTTCGGCAAGGAGCTCCTTCTCCCGGCGGATCCAGGCGAGCCACTCGTTGAGAACCCGCTTGCGCTTCTCGACAACGGCTGTGTTGGCAATATCGACAGCGTATCTGTCCTCCTCGTCGAACTCCTTGGAGTATTCCCGAAGGTTCTTGCGCACTTGTTTCTGCTCCTCCTTGCTGAGAAGGGTGGGTGGGCGAGGGCGCCAGAGGAATTGTTTGAACTTCTCTGTGGGGTTTTCGGAGAGGGTCTGGCCGGCGAAAGTGTGCATGTTCCAGCCGTTTTCCAACTAGAAGAGGAGGTAAGTCAGCAATGTTACAAATATCGATGAAAAAGATGGCAAAGGCTTGTTACCTGGTGTGTCCACACGCTAGCACTGCTGACGACATAACGACCGGTAGGATCCCAGTCGATATCCGTCACACCGTAGTGTTCAATGGTCTTCATCAATTGAACGTTGGCGGCAAAGTCCTTCTCGGCTTCGGGCTTCTCTCCCTCAAAGTCCATATCCCAGAAGTCCATGTCAAAGCTGGTCTGGGAGTGAACGGTAGCAACGACAACGAAACGACCCTTAGGCGACCAGTAAATCGCGTTGCTGTTCTTCTTCTCGATGGTGCGGATAAGCTTGAAGTTACCGAATGCTCCGCCCTTCTTCTCAGGGGCAAAGAACGACACGGCGGTCTTGGGTGCAACAGCAGCACCAGCGACAGCCTCGCCGGTTGTGATGAGAACGAATCGACTGCCATTGGGCTCCCAAGCGAAATTGATCACAGCATCCTTGAGACTGTCAACAACCTCAACAGGGACACCCTTCTCGCGTACCCGGAAAATCTCGAGGTTGGTGGCCATGGACTTCTTCGATTTCGAGTGTCGATCCACCTTCACGCAGACATACGAACCCTGGGACTGCCAGTGAAGCTTGACGTCGGAAACATTGAACAAATTACGTGTTCGTACAATTTCTTTTGATGGGACGCTCATCATTGCAACTCTGGCGGGGTTGCTGCCGATTTCAGGGGTCCAGAAGCAGAGCAACTGTTCGTATTGTTTGACGCCCTCCCGAGTCACAGTTGCGGGTGACCACTCAAAGTCCATAACGCCGTCGATCTTCACCGATGTCTTTCCGAGCAAGTTCATTCGTGGAAGCTCGTAGATCGAAATGGACTGGTGCTGTAGCATGCGAGCGACGTACTTTTCATCGGCAGACCACTTAAATGCAGGCCACTGCACCTTCTTCTTGGGCTCGGCGTCTCCCGCAGGACCAGCAGTGAGATCGTGAGAGACGAAGGAACGCAGAGGCTTTCCAGTCGCAATATCCCAAACGATAATGTTCTTCCCTTCCTCCTCGTACGTCAAAATAGACTGGCCTTCTTCAACCTGAATGGGGCGGGCGGACCAGGTCGTCAGATAGTTCTCACGCGGCGAGAACTCAACGAGCTGGACGAAAGGATGAGGGAACTGCTTCTGTTTCGAGAAAGCGGGACCACCCCAGAGCTGAACACCCTGAGGGTGAACAGATGCGAGATAAGTACCCTTGGGAGACCACTGGACGAAAAGCTGCGTCCAGTGCGCCCGGTCGACGACATTCTCGGGCGGATTGTTCTTGTTGTTCCAGAAAACGCCCACCTTGTCGCCACGGTAAAGGGCAAACTGATCACGCGCGTTGGGGTCCGCAAGCCACGAGCGGAGATGCTCCTTCTCCTTGAAAGGCTCGATGGCGGGGGGCTTGTACTCTTCGTCGATGCGACCTTCGCGACCGTAGCGTTCGATATCCATTAATTTGTTCACGAGAAGGGTGTGCTTTTTGTCAAGGGGAGTGCCGTGCAGCTGCTTGACCGCGGCGACAGCTTGTTCGGGGGTCTCGAACTCGACGAAGGCATATCTGTAGAAAGTAAAAAGGTTAATTACCCGAGCTGCAACTCCGTGTCCTTTCACCTTTACATACCCTTCGGACATGTTCTTGTCGTTGAGGGGCATAAAGACCGCATCTTCAGACGTGTGGCCCACCGTGTTGAGTTTCCTCAACAAGAACTTGATGAGCTTTTGTCTGCTTTCCTCGGGCACAACCGGGAGTCCATCGATCACAACGAATGTATCCAAACCCTCTTCGAGCTTCACTTCATATTGCGCCTTGAGATCTGGATGTTGGACAAAGAGCCGCGTTAGCCATGAGGGGCAACAAAGCGAGAAAACGTCCACCCAAAACAGTCGCACTCACCGGAGAAGTCAATCTCCTCCTCCTCCTCTTCGTGGAGGTCCTGCTCAGACAAAGTATCGAAACTGGGCGCCATGGCTGTTCGTGACCGGTGGACGGTGGAGCGAAGGCGATGGGGAGGTGGGAATATCGAGGGTGAGGTCTTGTCTAATTTTCTGCTGGTCAACCCCGTTTTGGCTGGCCTTCGATTTTAGGGCAAAAAGAGCAAATCCCAAGCGCAGCCGCTTCTGTGTGCGCTGTGCTGACTCAGCATTTTGTCTCAAATCACGTGCGCGCTTACCTCATCGTCTGCCCCAGCTGGGCTCAGGCTGGGCTTTCATGCATGATTGCCTCATTCGGCATAGTTCTAGACCGAGGTGGTATTATTCTCGTAAGGTACGTACATCGGGAGAGGGAAGTACGGTAAACTGGTAAACTACGTTAAGATTCGTCAGTACTCTACGCTTCTCTAAGGTACTACTACTACTACTATTACTGGGGAAAAGCAACAACACCGACGCATCATCCCGGACTTCTTTGCTGCTGCAGGTTGAATACCCTTACTCGTTGTGGGGTCAACCGTCTTCATCCTGTCTTTGTTCATAAAAGACTTATATGCCTCTTCTCGTCCCGTCCTGTCTCCCTAGATATAGGTACCTATCTCCGTTTCTTATGCCCCGCCGGTCCTAAGCGCCAAGTGAGTGACCGCTTAGATCTGGGCGAGCTCAACTATCACCATTGCGATACTCATAGGACTCACTCTACTCTCATCAACACTTTACTTCGACCTGTAGCGATTTCTCAAACCTCAATTCTAACTTCTCCAGCTTTGCGTCTGTGGAAAAATAAGAAATCGAAGCTCTTGGACGACATGTCGCGTAAGATCACCATTCTATGTTGTGTATAAGCTCCGAACTC